TAATGAGGAGAATCTTGATCTGCGCTGAAACGGATAAATTGACTTGGGGATTGAAGGATAAAGATGAATCAGAATATTATAAGTCCTGGGATAAATTTTATCGATAGTTGGGATATGAAAGGGAAAAGCCAAATTAGGCATGAGCCAAGATTCATACAATGGAGACTAGAATCATGCGTGAAATGATAAATGGAAGCATGTACAAGATAAACGCAAATCAAGATGGATGGAAATAGGTTACTTTTTTTCCTCTTTGTAAATACAGTATCGATCAAATGTTGGTGGCTACAATGTACAATTGAGTATCTTAGCATGTATGGCATAGATCCTGCCAGGACAGTTTATTCTGGGTCCAAAGTTGTTTAACGAAAACTTTTTAATTAAAAAAAAAAACCCGAGAGGGCCGTTATCATCTCAGATCAAGATCAATTTCTAGTTTTAATATTGCTCCCTCCCCCTTTGAGTTCACCCTATTCCAGAAGAAAAAATGGTAACATCACAAGGCATGCGGTAGCAATCAAATTAGAACACTGCAAAATTGTAACTGACTTTTTTTTAATCCCAGAGGACAATACTTAGACAATATCTTCCCCTTTAATGAAGAGCTCTTTGTGGATTCTTAAATTAAGGCATGAGAAATGCAAGCGGGATGTTTCGCGTATGTCTGAATATAATGATTAAAATAAACAACATGCCCTTAATTCCTTCCCTTTGCAATAAAGTATTTACATCTAAATACTTTGGGCAAATTGGATTGTTTTAACCAGATGCTTATGAAAAGTATGTAACATTAAGCAAGAATATTTTTATAATTCAACCAAATCAACCTGCTTCCTCTCTTATGTCAAACGTGGAAGATTCGTTTTCTGTTTTACTTAGGAGGGCTATTTGCAAGCAGGTTGCTTGACTGCTGACGAATGGCCACAGTCGGAGTTTGAGCTGTTGCTTTGCATGCAAAAGGTCCAGGTTCACCCCCTACGTTTTCAGGGAAGGGCTGGGGAAAAAAAACCCTCTTCTTGAACGGACGTTCAGAGCCCTACAGCCAGTCAGTGCCAATAGTGGTGAGACAGATGGGCCCACTAGGAGACCTGATACCAAGCAGCTTTCAGGCATTCCCGGGAGTTATTCCGCCTGCTACACCTTGGAAAACCTAGCAGTTGCTATTGGCGCCCCTTAAACGAACCCCACTGAGAGATACACCCAAGGAAGATTCTCCTGTCTGTCACCGGCCATGCCAAGAGGAAGGAAGCCTGGGTCCTGCACAGGCAGAGAATCTTTCTGTTGGGACTAGTGAGAGCTCCCTGCCTCCCATCCCTGGCTTGGTCCTGAAACCTCAGCTCTGAGACACTGAAAGCTATTAATTACTTAAGTTGCAAACTCGGTCAATCATACTTGGACCAATCTTCTGAAAGGGCTCAGGCTCCTCTTCTTTCACCTCCTCCTTGGCAATCATTGCTTGGTCGTAGGGGTCTGCAAGGGGAGAGAAGGAGGGGAGAGCTGATGGGGGCAATGTGGAAAGGCCTGTATCCCTCTCATCCGCTGCCATGGGTCACCCTCACCTTCGGCAGAACTGGGAACAGGAGAGCAAGACGCTTGATAAAGGCAACATCTTAGCTTGCTCCCGTTTGAAGCGTCTTAAAAACTTTTTTTTTAAGGAAACACTTAACAGACTAGAAGCAAAAAGAAATGACATTCTATTGTGCTCATGACTTATATAGACCAACATACCAGTGGTGGGTCCCTCTCCCCGTCGCTACCGATACGCAGCGCACAGGGCCGGGCACACGCATGCATACTCTACCGCCCCCACGACACCAGCTGCTTGTCGGAGGTCGCACAGGTGCCACACGCTGCACAATTGGCCAGTTGGTTTAAAAGCAGGCATGCAACACGGGTGGGCAGGTGGGCCTAACAAGCCACTGTACCGGTAAAGTGGTGGCTGCGTCTGGCTACTACCAGTACGGCTGGACTGGACCGGACCCGCCGGAACCCACCAGTGCAACATAGATTTTACACATGTATCGTATTTTTACTGATTCCTTTTTTCTGCCTATTAAAGTGAGTAATTATAAGCTGCATGTGTCCAATTTGAGGTATCAAATTTGCACTAATTGTATTTCTTTTTAAAGTGTGACAACTTATTGCAAAAAACTGCAGTCATTTTTGCAAGCGTCACAACAGTTCCAAAAAAAAAACCACACACCAACACAACCAGCCTACCTACACCAAGAGGCCCCAGGATTCTCCTACCAACCGAACAGGCGTTCTTTCTCCCAGCTGAGTAGGTTAATCTCTGCACACACCCACAGGTGCCTTCAAATTTGCAACAACACAGGGATTCCTGCCTGCTTGCTACGGCTCCAGTCTCCATCCACTGAGCATTCGGCCAAATGCTCCTCAGTCAAAGTCTTCCTAAGGTGTTGGAATCATTTAGCCAGAAGTTCCTATCGGCTGAAACTTTATTGCCAAAAGTTGTATGGTGTTAGGCCTCTAAAGTAGCTGGGTAAGCACACACAACACCACAACCAACAACAACAACAAGATTCTAATGGTTTCCCTTGGATTTTGTTTTTGTTTTGCATCACACAATCAACAATCCTGCACAAGAGCTCCCCTCCACAGTTTCTTTCCATAAAATGCAGGCTAACTGCTAAGAGCTCTAAGCAATAACTAAAGGTTCGGAGAACGGGTGCGAGAGCTACAGGCATGCCTGCCCCCTTTCCATTCCCTCGGGAGGAGATGGGAAGCTCTATTCCCTTCTTTGAGCAACTCTTACATTCAAGCCATGTTTGGCTTAAATTCAAGGTTTTCTGGAAACACAAGGGTGACATGGGAATCCTGGCTTGTTCTGATAAGCTGCTGCTTGAGCTTAGCCACCAATATTTCCCAACTATCACAGCTTCCTTTGGAGGGCGGGAACGAGGGCTGGCTCAGCTCCTGCTTAGCATTCTGTTAAGAACGGGGACCCTCCTCTTCTCGCCAAGCGATCGGCACTCACCATCCACCGCATGCAGATCTCTGTGCTCTTGGAAGCAACTGTAGTATTTGTACTTCTTCCCACAAATGTCACAGGTGTACCTAAAGTTATCTGTGGGGAGGAAAGAGCACAGTGTTCGAAAAACTCCAAGGAGAACCCAGGGCTTCTCCGAGGAGCCCCCATGCACAGACCCTCTACTGGCACCACCTGGTTTTCCACCAACACTCTCGGCCTCCGGGCTGCTCTCAGTCTTAGCACACCTCAACCCCAACCAAGGCCCTGAAGGGCTCCAATCTCGAGCCAAGGATGGAACTCCGAGGAATTTTGGGGGAGAGAAAACCAGATTCCAAATCACAGAAAAAAGCATTTTTCTTCTCCTGTTTTGATGCTTTGGGGAGTGGGGGGGGGAATGCAGTGGTAGAGACAATCCTTTCCCCCAATCCTTGGGTGATACCCATCCCTAACAGCATTCAGATGGATCAGAGGATCCAAAGTAAGAAAAGCTAGACCATCGGCTTCATGATATCCCAATTATTAACGAGGTTGTTTCCTTCCTTTGTTAAAGAGTATTTTTTTTCCAAGGCGGAAAACAATTTGGCAAAAAAATACGAAGCAGAGAGAGCAGGCGGTGGAAGGGGAGATGAGCACAGGGGCAAAACAAGGCAAGGTCGCCAAATGATGGGGGGGTATTCCCCCACTGCCTCCCCTCCCCCAGGCTTCTTCGCAACAGAGCTGACCCCATTGGCTTCAGGTCAGCTGTGGGTCCAGCCTGCCCACCCCTCTGGACTCTTGACTGGCAGCAGCTCTCTGGCGTCTTTTGCACAAAGAGGGCTTCCCTCTCCATCTCCCAGAACCTGGAACCGGGGTGGGGAACCTTTTGCTCGCAAAGCATCACTCCACACAATTCGAGAAAGGTGTCAATACTTACTCCCTGGGGAAGCTCCTTCGCCTGATGTCGCTTCTGTGTCTAAGCGGAGAGAAGAACTGCATTGAGAACGCATTCCCAGGAATAAGCACCCTCCCATCCTCGGCTCTCTTGACGGGCTTGAGGTCGATAAGGCCTCCTTTCCCAGATCTGATACCAAAGAAACGTGTCTGTATGGGGGCCAAACAGCCTGAAGATCTTCATCTCAGGCACAGCCCCTCGCTTGTCAGTACAGTTCCGAGGGTTCCATCCAAATCCCCTCCCTTCATGATAAGCAAAACCAAAAATAAAAAAAAGGTAGAATTACGCCAAAAGAGGCCAGGTAAATCTGTGTCGTTGATCTGAGATTGCGCGCATGAAGGGTGGCAGCGCCTCGGGTGCAATGATTTTAAAGTGTACTATTTGGGATCGGGGGAGGTCTTTCTGTCCTGAGTGGCATTTAACCTCGCGCAGTGAAGCAGACAGCCGAGGGAAGGAGAGCCGTGCAGAGGAGGGGGGGCCTGCAGCGTGAAGGCCTCACCCATTGAGGGGTTACATACATTCCCTGCAGGGGATGGAGCCTCATCTAAGCCACTCCTGGTTTTAGGCTGGCAGAAGAGGGAGAGCAGCCGCAGCCGTACTGGTGGCTTGTTCTTTTCAGCACTCGTGCAAGAGGCCGTGTATGGATAATTTAATTAAAGCTGCCTCACGTCTTCCGCATTCCATCTTAAGACTGCCACACAATCAATTTAGGTGGGGTTTTTCTGCTATGACCAGCATTTTCTCTCTCTCTCTCCACCCCCCCATAATTTTGTTCAGTATTCTAAACCGATACCAGGTCCAATAATATGGGGCATATTTCTCTGATTTGGCTAAAGATGCCAAATTGGCTGTGGCATTCGAGCACAAATGTGACTGGACCAAATTCCTGGAAAACCCAATTTGTGAATGCCAATATTATTTCAGAAACCATTCTTCCCACCCGCATTTCTTAACTACTCCCGGAATTCCTCCGTAGGGCACAAGAGATCAATACCTCTGTGAGCTCGAACATGGGTCTGGAAACAATTGTAGTACTTATATTTCTTTCCACATATTCCACACTCATATGACCCTGGAAGAGAGAGAGAAAAAAAAGACCACATCGAAACATTAAGGCAGCTGTAAGCAGAGACAGACAGAACTCTCTCTACCAAATCGATCAAACCTAAATCGAATTTAAAGGGACAGAGCTTGGACGAAATGCGTAATATTAAGCACCATCTCCTTGGCCAGGTTCAATTGTGGACATGCCATAAAAGCCTAAAATTAGAATCTGCCGAGGCAGCTGCTGGGACCAGTGTGGCCAAGCCTATGGTGGATCTAAACAGATCTGCTTGCACTGGAGTAGCAAAGGAAAACGCACCAAGAGGAGGCTCCTCTCTCACCCAAGCCATCTTCAATAGCCCCCCGATGGCCGTAGCTGCCTCCTCTGAAATAGATCACAGAGCAGCAAATTTTGGCGGATAAAGCAGGGGTCTACCTCCCACCACGTTTGCAAAGCTTAGATCACCCAAGCATGGGTCCGTACCTCCATCACTTGTAACTGGCGGACAAACTACTCAACAAGTCCTCTTTAATGCTACTACATCTACATGGAGGGAAGTAAGCAATGGGGTACTACGAGGTTCCTTCTTAGGCCCAGGACTCTTCAATGTCTTCATAAATCGCTTAGATAACACTGAGCTGGTAGGAATAGCTAACACCCCAGAAGACAAGCCTAGGATCCAAACAGATATTGAACAACGGGGCCCTATCCAACAAAATGAAATGTAATGTGGAGAAAAGCGAGGTTTTACAGGTAGGCAGGAAAAACTAAAGCAGTGTTTCTCAACCTTGGCAACTTGAAGATGTCCGGACTTCAACTCCCAGAATTCCCCAGCCAGCATCCGCT